AAGCACTGTTATGAACAACATCTACCTAGAAATATAATGTTCCCAGAGCATTCTCAGAGCGTCCCGCTGGTGTCAATGACGTTCCCAGAATGTTTCCCGAGATGCTCATGATGTGGAGTTTTTAAAGGGTTGGTGGCTTTATTTGGAAGACATTCAGGGATCAACACTGCTCAGAGTGTATTTGGTCCCACAATACAGAGTGTTAAAGTAACACTGAAGCAGAGTTGAACTTAATGAGATGTTAACAAGCAGAATTACTGAAGGAAAGAGAAACAGAAAAAAAAGAGAGAGACGAACAGAAACACAACTGCAGCCTTAGATGAAATCAACTGAAATAAAACACATTAAATCTTTCAAGATCTCAGCAGAGGAGGATTAAACAACTCCACAAACAGCATTATCAGCTTCACTCATTACTAACCTGATTGTCTAAAAAAAGTTACCAAAACTTACCATTAATGTGATCAGTGTTTGCTTTAGTTGGGCTCTTGACACTTCACCTTGTAACATTAGTTTTTCTGTGGCATTTGTAAATAAGTGTTTGCAAAACACATTTATTTTTTGTCTGTTATGACAAGAAAAAAAATCTGAAGAAAACATGAGCAGTTGGTTTTGTCTGATCAGTGACTTGTCTGTCAAAATCTGTGATTGTGTTTGGTGTTAAATTAGTTTAGTGTTGTTGTTGAAAGTAAAGTTTTACTTGGATAATTTGACTTCAACACTTTGCACAAGACATTTTGAACATCTGTGTGATTTACACCGTGTGTACACCAGACGCAACTGTCGTGCCACAGCAGCTAAAGTCTGTATACACTGGACGCAACAAAGCGATCATTGAAATTCATTTGAATTTTATGTCAGCGTGTCATAGACAGAACTCAGCAGTAGTTTACTGTCAGGAATTTTGGTGTAGATACGGTGTTAGATGCAAACATTCAACAAGGATCCGCATATGAATCTCAACAATGGTGACAATAAACAAAAATTGTCCAAACACTGTTAAAGTTCAACCATCACATACAAATGGCTTCTATATTCAACAGGGTAAAATTGAACATTCAGTGTACCAAGCCACTACATTATGACTGTTTTCAACACTATGTTTTCTCCAGTTATTCTTTGCTACAATAACAACCTTTGCAAGCACAGATTTAACAAAATATTTTTTTTGTTTGTTAATATAAGGGCCGAGAGCCCAACTAAAGCAAACACTGACCACAGTGATGGTGATGGTGACATTTTGTGAAATGAAACCAACATCTAAACCTCTGTTAATTCTCATTAAGAACTTTTGTATGACAGAAATGAGCTTCTGTTTGTCTCTTTTTTTCTGTCCTCTTCTTTCCTTCAGTGATTTTGCTTGTTAGCGTAGACGAGCTGAGAGGCAGGGGTGGATATAGAAAATAATTTTTAGGGTGGCAAAGGGGTGGCATGGGGTCTGTGAGGGGTGGCAGCACCAAAGCAAGCCCCCATGCATAGTTTTTGGGGATTTATGGTCTGACATACACAGTTGTGTTCACAAATATTGTATTACCATTAAGTAATCATCTATAATGTTTCAAATGAAAAATAAATAACAACATTTCAATATCCATCATGGCACCAAGTCAATACAAAATATAAAAAAAAACTTCAACAGGTTATAAACTGTAGGGCCTCTGTGAACAGACACAAATGAACGATTGAATCTCCGCATTCCACCGGAAAAACTAAGGTCTCCTCCCAACCATGTGAGAGTCGTAAAATTGAACCATGGTCAGCCCAGGCGCCAATTCTCTCAAATAAGTTCCTGTCCCGCTCAGCTTATCTTTACAAGAAACACAAGGAGAGAGTGATTTACAAAACCACCTCCTGGGTCGGCAAGCACTAAGACAGCAATAACTGACCCCTGCATCTGGACTCATTTAAGCAACAGAACGTCAGTGTTGTCTCGTGACTGGCTTCAGCATAAATAAACTATCTAATAAACCACAGAACAAAGAACCTGGTATCTGGAAATGTTCCAGCGACAGACACTCCTGGACCCCATGACCGTTTAACGCATAAATTGATAATCCGATAAACAGAAAGCGACAGATTAATAGCTCCATGTCCAAGCGAGAAGAATGGCAGATCTCCACCTGTGACATTGTCATGACCTCAGGACATCTCCTGAGCTCCATTTTCTGACTGCATTCCAAAAGGGACGCACCCTTTTCTCTCCTTCGGTCAGACAAAGGGACATAAAACTTACAACAGACAATTTCAAAAGACAATCATTTAAGTATAAAAAGGGCAACTATATCCACAAATAATATGTTTGTTGTCGTATATACGCTTGTTGTGTTTATTTTAACCTATGACGTTTAGTCAATGTTTTATAACCCCTTTTAGTAGATAAAAGTATTAATGTGTATGCAAACTACCCGATATTTGAGTTTGAATGAAAGCTTGCTTTATTCGCCGAACATTGGCATGAATGAAAAATTGGTATCCGGCATCATTTTCTGGTGATAATATTGTTTATAAGAAGTTATTAAAACTTGCAGAAATACTCCCCACGGGAAACATGTGACCCATGCCTAATCAGGGAACAGTGCGGGGCGTAGCTAAGCCTTGCAAGTAATGTCTGATTGGAACAACGACCTGGGGACAGACTTAAGCAGCGGATCAAAAACCCAATGCAAAACGGATTCAACCGCCTTTTGCCGCTCGCTTCTTTTCGCCGTGTTAATAGCACTCCATCTTGTGCTCACACGCTCACCACCACGAGATCGGGCCATCCAGAACTCAAACACTCCGTTGAAGCTTCGTGAATGCCAGAGATCTTCGAAAGCCTAAAGTCTTTCAAACTTAGGAGAACTGCCAAAGCCTCTGCGTCACCAGGAAACCAACCAATCACCACCGAGGGCTCTCCCAAAAGGACGTCATCCAGACGTCATCTCAGCAACCAATCCGAATTAACCTTTGGCCAGGGATAGTACAACTATTCAAATTGGTAAAATACACTGATGTTAACGTCTCGCTGGACGAACAGTTGATAAAGTGTAAACTATCAAATTTGAAATCAGTTCTAATCAGGTTGACTTCGAATCTTCAGATTCGATTCCTCTCAAAACCTGAGCTAAAATAATAATAATTAATTCCCTTACAAACTTAACTTTATCTTACGTGTGGTGGAGAAAGAAAGCTGGCAAAGAATTTGACATAATTCATAACACTAAGACATTGTGTTGAATCTTTTCTATTTTTATCCAGAAAAATAGATTAAAAGACAGAGAAACGGAGTTTGTTGTGTTACTACTTTATTGTGGCATACCAGCGTGTTGAATGAATGAAGTGAAACTCGAGTTGTTGTTTAAAGTTGAACTGCAGTAAAACATTTAAATTTTGTCTGCCGAGACAAAACTAAGTCGCTCTAAAGCACATGAATAGAGAAGCGAGCGTGTTCCTTGTTTTTCTGTCTTTTGAAAGGCCTTCATAGTCGATTTGTTGGTGAAACGCGACGCTCAGAGAGGGCGTCCAAGCGTGAGTTTATGGGAGAATTGTGAAATCTTGATCAAGTGAAATTGTGGTGAGATCCACGGGTGTTTTTGCCTGTCAAAGAGATCTGCCAGATCTACAATAAACGTTATTGTATTAATTGCAGTAAATCTGTAGATTAATTTACCTCACTCTAAACGAGTGGAGATTGTTCAGCGCTATAAAGATAAGAATCTAAAGAGTGCTTTTTGGTTGTTCAGTGTGAAATGCGCCGCCATTTCACATGAAGAATGTAAGCTGTTTGTAACCATAAACTGTCTAACCTGCATGCTAGCGTGCTGCAAAGTACGTTGCCACAGTGACACCCGTAACCCGGAAGTTCTAAGAAACCTTTTTCCGGGGTAACTTTGAAGTGCGCAAGCGCAGTCCGCCAGCGCCATTTTTGAGCTGTTTGTAAACAAATAGCCAAGCATGAGCTAAGCTAACTGAAGCTAACGCTTTTGCATTGGAGCATATGCAAAGCTAGTAGCATTGAAGGCTAGCGGTTAGCACGTAGCCTTTGGTGGTTTTAAATGCAGAGTGTTTTGCAGTGTTTGAAGTGTTGAAGTGACTTGATCAGTTACATCTGAACTTTATCTTTCGCTCTTTCATACTGATTTCATCCTATCTCTCTCTTCCACTCCTCCCATTGAAAAGAACAGACAGATGCAAACTTTATAAACCTTGTTGTAATGCGATTTTAACCAACCGTCAGATTAGCGATCTCACAATTGGTTATAATCACGTTTGTTTAAAGGTTTGTCCTCTTCCCTTCAGCTTGTTTACTCTTAGCAGTTTAAATGGCCATAGCTGTTGTTGTTTCGTTTTGAAAATTGATCTTGGTTATGTGATTAATTCAGATATAACTGTTCTTATAATATGAATGGCATCAGTAGATATTACGAATTTAAGTAATTATGGATTTGAAATTTTAATTTAATTTCATAATTAATTACAGTTTTGGAATTTTCATTTCATTTTAAAATTAATTTCAGTTCTTGCTTTCACATAGCAACAATATCTACTGATTAATTTAATTATAAATTGCTCTTATAATCTACTGACCATAACATTGGAATTTTTAATCATTAACTATATTATACTCATTCTGCTACCAGAAAAGGGTATTTTGATGTTTTATCTTTCACTCTCATCTTACCATTAACTTTTTTTTTTTTTAAAACCTTTCTCTTACAGGAAAATTGGAAGCAGCCAATTATTATTCTGTTCCTTGCTTTGTTTGTTATTTTTCTTTTCTCCCTCTGTTCTCTAGCTGTGCTACCTGTGTGCGCTTACTAATTTTCCCACAAAGAAACCCTAGCAGCTACTACCCAAGAAATGGAACAAGGTAAGGCTGACTACGCTGATCTCTCCAACAAGCTACAATATGCAGAACAGCTCCTGGAAAAGGCAAGGCAGACTTTAGAGGCAAGAACGGCAGAATTAAAGCCCTTGAAACTCACCTGGATGAGTCAAGAAATGAGATCAGCCGCCTAGCACTCCAGCTGGACTACATCAAGGAGGAGTCCAACAGCGTCAGAGAGGAACTCAGACATGCCTATGAGCTGCGCCCTGAGCCGACAAGGACACGACGGGCACCAGTCTCACCCCTGCCAAGCAGGACCGGGTCCCCTGTTCCTGGACTGACACGTGATAAAAATAGGGAGGGGGCAGTGCTGAAACATTCACCAGCTCCCTCCGAAGAACTTTACCTCACGACAAAGCTAAAAGAACCTGCTCCAGCCAGCCCTGAAGTCCGCAGCTTCCTAGACCGGCAGCCTGCTCAAACAAAGACTGATTACCAACTGCTCCGAGAAGCCCTCATTAAAGAGTTCGCTGACCCTGAGTCAGAACAAGGACTAATGGCTGCCCTGGAGACAAAACAAGGTCGTCATGAATCTCCTCAAGCCTACTACAGCCGAAGCAGTTCTTGACTTCAACACTCAAAGTCATGGGCTGGCTCTAGAAGGCGCCCAACACCAAGACCATGGCAAGTCGCCACCCAAAGAGTGGAACGCATCCCTGTCCAACAGAGAACGGGACTCCCACGCTGGTACCCAACCTAAACAGAGGAACAACCACTGGGATGGACCACGTGAACGACAACACTCACCTGGACGTCACTGGGATAAATCATGGGACCAATCAAGACCTCATGAGAATCGATGGGAGAGATCATGGAATCAACCAAGCTCATTTGGAAACTCAAGAGGAAAAAACTCATGGGAATCCAATGGAAACTCTAAGGGAAAACGACAAATACTCCCCGGAGCAACCAGCCCAAGAAATCGACGGAAAAACTCACAAAGATTCCAAGCTGAATGAGCTCAAACTTGAACCCACACAAGAACAAAAGACATCACCGTGTTTCGACTCACAATAACTAATGAAGATGATGATGAAAGAGTTCTTCCAACGAAAGGAGGAGGATCGGAAGCGGGAAAAGAAAGAGAAACCAGATTCAGCCTGACTAGCAGTCAGACGAGAAGGCAGCGACCACCTGACCCAACAGACCACAGAGAACAGCACTTCCTCACCTCACTCTCAGAGAACCGTAACCTCCATAACTTCAGACAGACAAGAAATCCTACCTGAACAACCCGCAAAACAGTCAGAAACTGACCCAACACCTGATGCGTCAGATCACAGCAGCGTCCAGCAAACACCTGCTGACGAAACCACTCAAGTTCCCGAAAGTGCTGTTTTGGTCGTCTGCCACTCCTCCGAAGAACACCAGATCAGTCCTGATATCCTACCTGTCTCATCCCAAACTCCAGTCCCTCAACTACTGGGCGACCTCATTGAGAAAGGTATAGCAAGAAAGTTTTACCTCTCCATCATCATCGAACGCCACATCAAAGTCACCTCGTCACCGCTTATATCACTCACCAGTACCTGGAAGAGTTGCATCAACACCTGAGAACAACTTTCGCCTTCGCGCAACAACAACTCCAAAGAAGTGCGGAAGGTCGAAAAGCCTACTATGACCAAAAGGCCTCTCACCAAGAACTTAATGTCGGAAACAAAGTATGGTACTACAGCTTCGCCCAACCAAGGCAGAACGCTCCCCATCGCCTGTGAAAGAAATTCCTACCTCACTGGACAGGACCCCATGAGATTGTGGACAAGCTCTCACCTGTTGCCTATCGAATCAAAATCAGACAAGGGCGCAGTGAGCCAGTCCTTCGATGGGTCCATTGAAACCAGATAAAGAGGCACCAGGGTTCCAACCGACAGAAAAGGGGGAAGATCAAACCAACTGACACAGATCGACAATCCCATACTCTACACCACACTAACATAACTTCTGTCATTCTAGGAAAACATATAGCTACCTTATAGCTACCGTGCTTAAACACAACACTTACACACTCTCCTCCGCCGCACTGCTAAGACCAACCTCTAGTAGAAGAGGAGTGCTCCACACATGTGACACTTGTTTGCCGTCTAACCTCATTCAGTGTCTTTGTGTCTCTTTGTGTTTTCCCTTTTCTTTTCTTTTTTTTCTCTCTCACTACAATTTCCTTTCCCCTCTAGTCCCCTCATCAGGGAACTCCCTTAACCGATTGATTTGACTCCTGTTGATACAGCTTTAGAAGCTATTGCTCGCCCTCCGCCCGCTGGCGCGCCAATCATTCGGTTTTGATCTGCCGCTGACACAGCGCTTTGCGTTTCTACTATTGTAGGATATGTTGTGACTCTGACACTTGCCTTCCTCCTCCACAAGCGAGCGAACGCCGTTCAAGAATCTTTCAACAAATGCACGTCCGGCGTCCCGTGCAAGTTCCGACGTGATAAAACGGACCAAGAACCTGAACCTGAACCTGAGAACTCAACAAACCTGATTGAGATTACGCCTATACCGCCTCGTCAAACCTCTGACAATTAGAGCAATCTAAATGACACAATAATGATACAAGTAATCCTAAATAATGCACCCCTATGTCTTCTCAAGTTTCAAACCTGATCATTCCCAAATTACCCATGTCCTGCACCAGGATTCAGTCAGTGATGGAGATGTTGTTTGTGTCTTGTGCGTGTCTGTTCTCTCTGCCTCTTGTTCCAGTGCCCGCCGATGTTC